GTTGACTGAGCATTAGGCTGAAATACAGCTGAGTATTTGAGAGCTTCCTGTTCCTGTGCAGAGTTAGAGTCACTGTAACCTCAGTCTATAAACAACCACAGCTGGAGTTTATATCACCCTTTCCCTTTCATTACTTACTGTATGTACTCGTCTCAAGAACAGGCTGTAAGTGAAGGTTCACATTTTTTTAAATGATGAAGTTACAGTTTTACTCTAAAGAATACATGGAAAAACTGATTTAAGCCACTATGACACAACCAATTAGTTCTTTAATTTTGAGAGCCCATTTTTAGGTTTTGAGACATGAAGCGTAAATGGAGAGTTCAAAATGGTGACTTCTCTGACTTTCTAATGCCAGCTAATTCTAACAAGGTTGCTTAGAAAGTGGAATTTGTGAATTAGGGCAATAAAACATGCTAACATTGAACTACAGTATAATACCGGTGCAGAGCCTTTCTGATTGGGCTGATATAATTAACTATGCTGCATTTTTAACCAAATATCATTATTGCAGATAATTAATTGATTTTTGAAATTCTGGGAGTCTATGAGGTTTATCCTACTTTTGGAGCCAGCCTTAATCAACTGCAGTTTGCTTACCCACACATGGAGAAATATGTAAAATTCACACAGAAAGGAACCAAGCGGTGGAATCAAACTCGGGACCTTCTTGCTGTGAGACAACAGTTCTAATCACTGAGGCAGCACTGTGACACTGTGATGAGCACTGTTAGCTCTCCAGGTTTCTTGAAGGACATCCAAGCATCTTGTGATTATAGTAAGTTGATAGCTCTGTGGCTGGGAATCACATGTTTAATGCCAGTGAGTACATATTAGCATGTGTATGCTAACTTGTTTTGATAAATAATACAAGTTCACTGAATGTTACATTTCATGTAAGGTGCTTTGAGTCTCAGCTAACATGTTTAAGTTCATGTTCTTTGTTACTTTAGTTAATTTAATTTTACAAAAAACAAAACAAAACAAAATCTCAAGGTAACAGGACCTTCGAAAGGACCTAGACGCCCGTATGTGAGAGTGGACCCAAATGCCAACTAAAACGGCACAGTGATAAGGTTTCTCCGAAGCTTTAATTTTTCTAAACACAAAGATAAGCAATGATATGGCGTGGGTGCTTGGTGGGGAGTCTTAATGTGGCGATACTGTAACAGAGGGAAATTAAGGTTAGGATCTGGGTGTGGAGAACAGTAACTGGTGAGAAAGTGATTATTGAATTTGTGGCTTACTTTGCAGCTGGGTTGCGCAAGGCCCAGGCGGGGGTAGTCAGATGAGCATCCAATTGGTGTATGTATGAAAGAGGTTCCAACATTGTTTTTTTTCCTGTGATCTAGAGAAGACAGAAGGCAGGACAGGCATGTGAGAGTAGCAGGATATTTGAGTTCATGAAGCGAGTAAAAGGGAGAAGTTGCATGTGGATGATGCCTTGATGAGGTTACTATAGGGACACAAAAGCCAAGGTAAGTTGAGAACATTGATGAGAAAACATGAACCCATGAGGCCTGTTACCAACATGAGGTAGGTGACAAACTGGAAGCAAATGGCTGGCAACGTCTCGTGAATGCTGCCAACCGTGAGAGTTTATTCAGTCTTTTGAATAAACTTAATAGTAGAACCACCAATTCTTATCTTGGAACAAATATAAAGGGAAATTTCTAATGAGTGCTAATGTTAACTTCTTTGAACTGTAATGTTCCAAATTCACAAAAGTCTATCCAATTAACTGAATAAAAAGACTGTTTGTGCCAGTTTATGCAACACATGGAGACATGTATTTATTGCACTCAATGCATATATACTATATCCCCATGTCCATTTGTGGCAATACACATTGCAGCTTTTATTTGCGTTGCTGTTTGACCTAGAAGAGAATTTAGATCAGGGAACATTTTCTATTATGGTTGAATTTCTAGATTGCAGCTAGGATTAAAAGTTCTAAATAAAACTTGATGCCTCATTTCTTGGTCAAGAAAGCCATTCATTTTTAATTTTTTTTCCAATTCATATTTTTCCCTTTGCTGGCTGCTGGCAGGCTTGTATTGGAGCTCATATAATCAGTCACACTTGTCTTCAAACTGACCATCAGACTCTGATTAGACAGTGCTGCTACAGCTCATCTGGCTGAGCAGCTGCCCCATATACTGAAGGCTCGAGTCCTCACTGCGAGTACCTGGGTTTGAGTCCAGACCATTTCCTGTGTGTCATTCCCCCTCACTCTCTCCTCCTGCCTATTGTCAGCACTGTCCTGTCCAATAAAGGCAAAAATGCACATGTTCTGAAAACTCTTGATCATCTTCCTGTTTTCTAAAATTCTCGCTCGTCTTTGGTTTGCAATACAACAAACACAGATATTCTAAATTCTTTCTAATGTCAACATTGGATGAAACAAATTATTTAATAGAACTTCATCTCTTCATTTGTTTACTAGGTTTTGCTTGAGCAGTGCTTGTGTACTGATAAATTTTAAACACAAAAATGGGACAGTAGCAGCAACACAAACAGTTTGCATCTATTCAAGTTGCCAAACTTTTTTCTTTCTCTTATTTTACAGTTTCTGCTGCTCTTCAATCTCTCAGGTTAATTCACCTGCCTGATTAGAAAAGTGGTTTTATGCTCCTGCAAGAATCATAGCAGATCTGTCCAACCCTGTTTATAACAGTGACCAGTTTCCTTGCAACAGGCTCAAAGTTCGTGAGGAAGATTTCGCACACACACACACGCACACACACACGCACACGCACACGCACACACGCACACACACACACACACACGCACACACTGGATGTCTGGTTTCACTAATACTGAGTTTCACTAACTCAGTAATGATTTACTAACTCAGACTGTAGGTTCTTTTCAAGTGAGAGCCACTTCATGCAGGAGGTATGTTGTATTTTATATCTTATTTTTAATGTCTAAGTTATATCTTACTGACTTTCTCATCTTACTAAAATGCCATCTTATACAAAATACAATGAATACATCTTACAGTACAGAATAGCAGCTCTACATTTAGAGCATTTACATTTAGGTACACATTATAACTTCGACGTTATTTCTGGAGGAAAAGCTGAAACTTTCTGCATTTCAGGGGACTGGATAATTGTTGTCTGATCAGTATTTATCAAATAAATAAGTGTTTAATATCTGGTTTGTATGTTTCATTTACAAATATTACAACTATGACCTAGTATCAGAAAATGGCAATGAAAAGTTGTACTAAACATAGTTTTAGTTTATCGTACTGTATTCTACATCTGACAATATTCACACAATTTAAATTCACAATGGAACAATGAACTGAAGGTATTTGTGTGTCCATCAAAGAAACCTCAAGGACATTTGAATTGAATGTGAAAGCATGAAACTGACTTGCTCATGTTTTATTGTTTTATTGTTTTATTACTAACTTGTTTGTTGTATTATTTTTTTCCCCATTATCAGAGCATAAATCATCAGATGGCTGGATTTTCCCTTAATTGTCTCAGAAACTGTTTTCTGGTTTTCCCTCTTCTTGTACATTTTTGTAAGTACCTTCACATATAAGGTCACAGTAATTATTTGTGTGTATGTGTTTATAAATTATAAAATTTATGGCTCAAATTGCCATGTTTAATGTTTAGTTTTTTGTTTTAATTTGTCAATATTTTTGTGTTATCTCTCAGTGTTCTTATTGATTCTTAAAAGCTGTAAACTAGTAGTTATACCTTTGACTAATGTGACTAGATTATAAATTCTAACTGAATCTGTAATTTGATCATTACATTATAATTCACAATACAAAAATGTAGAGGTTGAATATTTTAGGGGAAGTAAGACATTTGTTATGAAATATTATTTAACAAAGAAGAAGAACATCTCTCGATTGAGGTTCAGCGGGATTTCTTAGAAGTTCTCATTCATAAAGAAATTAATAAACTGATCTTTTTATCTCAGGTCAGTCTCGGTTAATTGGTCCAACTCAGCCAATTACTGCAACAGCTGGAGAAGACATCACTTTGCCATGTCACCTGGTACCTGGAGAAAATGTTGCTGCGATGACTTCGGAGTGGACAAGACCCGACCTGGACCCCAGATTTGTGTTTCTGTGGCGTGCAGGTCAGGACCTCATAAATATGAAAAATCCGTCCTACAAAGGTCGGTCATCATTGTTCACTGATGAACTGAAACATGGAAACATTTCACTGAAACTATCCAAAGTAAAACCTGCAGACGAGGGCAGATACAGATGTTACATCCCAGACAAGAATGAAGAAGCTTTTATTGATCTTGTGGTCGGTAAGTGAATGAATTATATATGTTATGTGTGCACAGAGCAGTTTGGACTAGTGTTTGCAGTAATGCCTTGATTCAGCCAGTGAGTTACACCAGCTTGGAAACTGCAGTCTGTATCAGATTTAAATATTACCATTGCATTTTTAGTGATTTGCATTACTGATCAGCATTTTAAATTGTACATTTCATCCAGCATCAGGTGCTGTCTCCTCACCTGTCATCAGCTTATCAAACCTTGATAAAGCCATCAGTGGAGTGGTTTTACAGTGTGAGTCTGCAGGCTGGTATCCAGAGCCTGAGCTGCTGTGGTTGGACGGTGAGGGAAACCTCCTCTCTGCTGGACCTACAGAGACCCTCAGAGGTCCTGATGACCTCTATACTGTCAGCAGCAGAGTGACTGTGGAGAAGAGACACAGCAACAACATCACCTGCAGAGTCCAACAGAGGAACACCAACCAGAGCAGAGAGACACACATACATGTTCCAGGTAAATGTAGTTTATAAAATGTATGATATGCTCGATTTTGGTTTGAATGAACCAGAATCTTTTAAAATGACATGTAATTCTGTTGTTATTGTTTCAGATGAATACTTCCAGCTCAACTCCAGTTCTGCTGCTCCCATTATCATTGGTGTGGTTGTTAGTTTGGCTCTAAGCATCGTCTTGATTTTAATTGGAGTTTTTTTCATCTGGAGACGAAACAAAACAAGTAAGACACAAATTAATTTACCATGTTGTCAAAATTATTATCTAAAGTTTTTCCTACAGGGGTTAAAGCAACACACATGCAAAGTTATAAACCTCTTTGTGTTGCATTAAAAAGAAATAATACAGCATATTTAATTAATTCATATTAAAATGAGATGATAAATGATGTGTTACCATTGGAAAGCCCAGGAGGACATCATGTTGACTTTCTTGTCTAAACGTTTAACAGATGTCTGGAAACCTCACTGCTTACAAAAAAAACAAGAAACAACAAAAACTGAACCAGACCAAGAGCAGGAGACGCTCATGACACAGGACATCGAGCCAGTGAGTGATATGACAGAAACAGACAAGACAACGAAACCTGTAGGAAAAACAGTATGAGAGATTTCATGAATGTGGGGAAATAATGTTTATAAATAAAATATACAACTTTTTAAAGAAAAGAAAGAGACAACTTTACTGACAATAAAATGAAAATAAAAGAGTTAAAAATCGTCAGAGGAATAATGTGACGGGAAATATATAGTTGCCACCTTCTGCTGTATGAATAGATGGTATTTTTCTAATCCTAATATTCAAATATTTTTTTCTGTCATGTTTTCATTTTACAGAACATTAAGTAACAACCTAAATTATTCTGTTCATATCTTCTCTCAGTCTGGAGGCTCATCAGCTCTCAAAAAACATCAGCAACTGATGGAGAAAAACATGAAAGAGGAGGAATCCAGTAAAAACGAGGTTAGCAGAAGTTTGTTAAACACATTTATGCTTCTTGTTTGTGTAAAATATTTTTATACTTTTTATAATCCTGAGGGAGCAGTTTACAGGTCATTGATGAGGTTAAGATTATGAAATAGAAAGAACAGAAAAAGTTTAGATTATTTGGAACGTTTGCATTTTAACCTGTAATCTGAAAACTGAAATGAAACTTTGATAAAGTTACAAAAACACAGACACCAGCTTATCAATTATTGTGTTTTTATATTTATATAAACTGTACATGAACACATGCGTGTTTCTTTTACCATAAAGATATTTATAGAAACACAAATCTTCAGCTTGCTCTCAGATTCAGTGACATTATTGGAGTTCAGGGTCAGTCAGAGGTCAGATTTCCTGTTTGAGCTCTTTAAGGAAGAGAGATTTGAAAGCAAACAGAAAATGTGTGAACAGTTTTGGAGACGTGTTCAGACTGTTATGTTTGACAGTCCAGATAGTTTTGTTCAGGCTGAACCTTTGTGTTGATCTGTTTGTCTGTTAGTTGGAGAAAAACCAACATGCAGCTGAGGAGAAGCTGAAGGAGGAACATCATCACCTGCAGAAGAAACATGCAGAGATCAGCAACATGAAGAAAGAAGTAAACACACACACACTGTTGTTTTGAACACTTCAGCACAAACACACATTCATTTACTGGGACCTCACTCTGTCCTCAACCATAAACAAACAAACATGCAGCACATTTACATTTATTATTTATTCTATT